GATAAACTCTGCAACCCAGGTATGTGCCCTGGCCAGAATGGAACCTGCCACCTTTTGTTGTATGGCTTGACGCTCCAAACAACTGAGCCACCAGGCCAGGGCTTGTGTCTTTCACCAGAAATTTCCTGAACATTTCCCCATCTGCTTTTGAAAAGAACACACTTTTCTGAATAATTGATTTGGAAACACATTCAGGGTTAATATACCTTATTCTGTGGAGTCACTTAAGTGTTTCTTTACACACAAAAAAAGTGATCAAACATGAATTTGAAATTCAGGCAAAGAAAATGATAGGTTGGCTCTCAGAAATAATGAAATAAAAAAGAACACTGCCTAGTTTTTGTTAAACTTGTTTTGATATGAGTCTATGGAAAGAGACTATAACTTGTCTGTGTTCTTAAAAGTTCTTTTTATAAAAATATATTTTATTGATTTTTTACAGAGAGGAAGAGAGAGGGATAGAGAGTTAGAAACATCGATGAGAGAGAAGCATCAATGAGAGAGAAACATTGATCAGCTGCCTCCTGCACATGTCCTACTGGGGATGTGCCCACAACCAAGGTACATGCCCTTGGCTGGAATTGAACCTGGGACCTTTCAGTCCGCAGGCTGACACTCTATCCACTGAGCCAAACCGGTTAGGGCTCTTAAAAGTTCTTGATTTCTTACTGAATCAAGTGAAACCACTGTTAACCTACAATTATTATTATTTCAACTCTTTGGAAATTTAAGTGAACCTCATATGAAATTTAAGTGAACCTCATATGAAATCATAATCTATCACACTAGACAAAAGTAATTTAGTATGGGGGTTGAAAGTTTGTTTTGGAAGTGCCTCTGATAAGTTTTCCCCAAAGTGTATTAGAGTCATAATTCCAAAAAAAATCCCAATATATCATCTAAAAAATGATGCTGGTGACCCTCTCTCAGGTGTGTGTGTGTGTGTGTGTGTGTGTGTGATGTGTCATAGTTCCAATAGTTAAGACATGCTATAGTAATGATACTCATTACGGGAAAAATGGCAATATTATGTATGACCAATGGGTGACCATGTCATTAATGTAATTAGAAGAGATGTTAATGTAATATATTGCTATTTGGAAATTTGGCTGAAAATGTCAGAAATAAGCATATCCTTGTTAATGGGTACATCATTTTAAATATTATATTTTGTTCAATATCTAGTCATAGTTTCTCTATCCTTTTAAAAATGATAAAACTTATGCTTACAGATTTCCATCAGCAGTAAATCTAAGAAACATTTAGCATGAAATAACTCTTTACTAAATTTTGGAAACAAGGACTAGATTTGGTATACTATAGAATTTACATTTTTCCAATGCTTTTGAAAATAATACTTATTTTGACTTAAATATTTTCCTTTAAAAAACTATATAACATAGAGGTTGTCTTGTGTTTTCTTCTGTAATATCACCGACTGCCTAAACTGTCTTTCATCAGGGAAGATATTTACTTGAATCATAGAAAAATATTAATTTTCTCTTGATTATAAAAATAATAGCATACCTTAATTTAAATCTCAGTTTTGCCTTGTTTAAAGTAGTAATATAGTTCCTGGACATTAGTAAGTGCCACAAAATTATTACTATTATTTACATTAATGTTATTAATTTATTAAATTAATGAGATAAGATAGCATTTGTTAAGTTACATAAACACACATCCCTAGGTGGGAGCTATCAACCCCTTCCAGGGATGTGGGGCATCTTTCAGACTCAACATCACCGCTTTCTTACACATAAAATGACAGATACATTCCTCTCAAGGCATGTTTCCAAACATTTCACTATTCTGCTCATCTTGTTTTGGATACACTTTAATTTCTCAATATCTCCTTTTAAAAATATATTAACTATCCTATAATATTGCTACAGCTTCTAGAATAAATGGAAAACCCTGATAATAAGCATAATTTTTTCTTGTTTGTGAAGAGTGATGAGGCTTAAATAATGTAAAAAAGAAAATAGGTAATGTCTATAAAATGATAAGAACAATTTCTGATACACTGTTGACAACAAAATAATTATTAGCATTATCATTGGTCACAGAAATAGCAATGTCAAGGAGATAATCTGGTATATAAATTTGAGGTTCAAAGGAATGTGGTTGACATTATCATTATTCAAAGAATGCAGTAATGTCAAATTAATATGTTGTACATCTTCAATTTGCACAATGTTAAAATACATATCTCAACAAAAAAAGAAAAACAAGAAAGTATTTCACTTTATTACACTTCTTCTGAGTTAATGAAAACAATCCTAGAATAGCTTTTACTGTTTTGTGTTAACTTATTTTTCTCTCTCTTTTTTCCTTCTCTCTTTTGGGGGCATTGCAGAGGATGGCTGGAGTTGAGTTGGGAATTAGCATTAGAAGGAAAAGGATCCTCTTGACAATGGAAAAGTCACGCTGTAATTCTGAAAAGAATGTTTCATTTCCCATTTTCAACATTAAAATTACTTCAGCAGTAGTTCAAGCTTTTAATTGATTGTATTTAAATTTTTCTGTATAAATAGACCATAACTATTTTTGATAACACATTTTCAGATTCATGGGCTGGAGTTGAGTTGGGAATTAGCATTAGAAGGAAAAGGATCCTCTTGACAATGGAAAAGTCACGCTGTAATTCTGAAAAGAATGTTTCATTTCCCATTTTCAACATTAAAATTACTTCAGCAGTAGTTCAAGCTTTTAGTTGATTGTATTTAAATCTTTCTGTATAAATAGACCGTAACTATTTTTGATAACACATTTCAGATTTATCTAATTATGAAATACTGAGAATACAAGAACTAATCTGTGGCTTGTCTGTTGACGTCATTGTGGAAACTTAACCTTTGAAAAGGCAGGTTTAGACACAGCAAAAACATTTCCTCTTTCAAGCCTGTTTTCTCCTTCTCTGCAAACAACATTATAATGTTAACGTAAAAATGTTCAAACGTGTAAAGAATTTTTGTGACTTTATTTGAGCCAAACTGTAGACAATTGCCAGGAAGCAGAATCTCAATGTATTGGGATAATGCTCCGGAGTCTTACAATCAAAGGAGGAGAAGTAAGTGTGTTACATAAAATCCATAGGTGATAGATTAGGGAGGCAGAGAAAGCAAAAGTGGGAGGAAACCTCTGGGATTGGATGAAAAGTAAAATGATAGACACATACTTCTTTTACCTAGGTGGGAACAGGATAGTTAGCAGGCAACAATTAACATGATAACGATAGCAGTGAAATAACTTATGCTCTCTCTACTGGTGCCCAGGCGCATTTGGTTTTGCCCTGAGGGGTCCAGAAAAAGAGAAGTTACAAGTTACCCTGACATTTCACAGGCAAGTTATCTTAGATGCAAAAAGACAATAGGCTCTGTTAAGGTAAAGATTGACCTTTGTCAGGGAAGATACTGGCCTAGAATGTGACTACCCACTATAATGTGACTACCCACTGCTTTTCATTAAAGTATTAATTTCAGACCATCCTTTGTGGTTACTTTAGGTCTTTGAGTTTGCTAGTCAGGTTAGCATGTGGCCTTTTTTTTTCATCCACAATAAAAAAAATACCATTTTGGCTTCTGGATTCAAAGGTTGAAAATCTTATATAAATATATGAGTATATTTGACCATGAGTTCATTCATTCATCTATTTAATGAAAAAGAATGTAATTTAGTGAATGCCTGGGTCATGTTCTAAGAATTTTAAGATAAACATGACAATGTACTTCCTTTCAAGATGCAAAATTCCAAATATGTGAAGTTGGTTAATCCAGATAATTTTTCAAAGAGCTTTATAAAGCTGGTGCTATGTAAATTTGAATTATTATTGTTGTGGTCATTAATATAGAGATCCTTCTGAAACATGGAGTTTGGGGTGCAGACATTTCTTCTTGTGGGCCCTTGTCCTCACGAAGTTTGAAGAATAAACTAGTGGACTAACAGATTTCTTTAATAAAAATGTAGAAGTTTATTGGAAGCGGATACAAACTCCATCTGGGAATGGGTGTCCCCAAAAGGAACCCCCTGAGAGGAGCCCCCAAATGGGAAAAGCCTGCGCCCTCTCACACTCTCTCTCTCTCTCTCTCAAAAAAATCAAACCCTAAAAATCTAAAACCTAAAAATCTGTCTCATGTCCCTTTGTCTCAGGTTTATATAAGCTGTAGCTCTTTGTCTCTTCATGCTCCCTCCCCATTTGATGACCCTTGCTCTCCTAAGAGCTTTATAAAGCTGGTGCTATGTAAATTTGAATTATTATTGTTGTGGTCATTAATATAGAGATCCTTCTGAAACATGGAGTTTGGGGTGCAGACATTTCTTTTTGTGGGCCCTTGTCCTCACGAACTTTGAAGAATAAACTAGTGGACTAACATATTTCTTTAATAAAAATGTAGAAGTTTATTGGAAGCATATACAAACTCCATCTGGGAATGGGTGTCCCCCTGAGAGGAGCCCCCAAATGGGAAAAGCCTACGCCCTCTCTCTCTCTCTCTCTTTCTCTCTCTCTCTCTCTCTCTCTCAAAAAAAAAGTAAACCCTAAAAATCTAAAACCTAAAAATTTGTCTCATGTCCCTTTGTATCAGGTTTATATAAGCTGTAGCTCTTTGTCTCTTCATGCTCCCTCCCCATTTGATGACCCTGTGCTCTCCTAATTGGTTACTCTTTTGTGGAATATCAGTTTCAAATTCCAAAACTCACTGGATACCCTCCTTTTTTTCTCCCCCTTATCTTGGAACATTCCTCTGTCTCTGGTGAAAATATGTTTTCCTCTTTCTGACATCTGTCATTTCTCTATCCTCTGTGAAAGTGTTTCCTTCTTCCCGGTTCTCTGTGACTTTTCTTTATCCACTGTGACTGTATGCCTTCTGGTGGGTCCAAGCCCTCACTTATGTATTTTTTCCCCTTGTTAGTCTCTAAACTGGCCTATTTTGTCCCTAGAATTCCTTTTCCTTCTAGAAGCAAGCATCATTTTTTATTTTTATATATATTTTTTGCAGCTTTGAAATAGGGTCGTGCCAAGAGGCCCATAGTGAAACACTGAAAGTGGCCACCATCAGCATGAGGACCCCAACAAGTCAAACTGGTAAGTGGAAAAAGTAATACATCAGTATCTTTTTCTATGTCATTAAATCTGTTGTTATTTTTTTTTATGCGACAATTCTCAGAATTTACAAACAAAAATGAGAGTGCTTTTCAAAGGACAGTGCCTATGAAATTCATTGTCATTACCTGGAAGACCTTGGGGAGTTGGTATTCTGTGGGAAAAGTCACCAATCTGTTCTAGACAGTCATGGATTTAAAGTAGCTATTTGAACTTGTGAAAGTTGCTAAATTCTTTGAGTCTTACTTTTTTAAATTTTAAAATGGAGATTATAATAATTATCTTGTTAGGACTTTTCCTAAGAACTAAAATATTGCATATAAAGAATCGAGTAGTTTCCTTAACATAGAAAAAGAGTTTAAAGATATTAGTCTACTGTTTACTGAATACTTTCTAAAAACCAAGTATTAAATCCTAAACACTTTAATGCATTATTTTATGAAATACAACCCTTAGAGGTAGAAGCTATTTTTACTCTCATTTTACAGATGAAAAAACTGCTATTGACAGATTATTAGACTTGCTTTAAATCGCACACTGCTCCCTGAGACAGGTGTGTCTGGTGGCAGAGTTTCTGTTCTTAAATTTATTCATAAAATCAACAAACATTTATTGGATACCTGAAAATGACAAACTTTTTTCTTTTTTAGCTGAGATGCCATGCTAGTTTCCAAATGATTGCTACGTAGAGTATAATTATATATTTATATGAGGTGTTATAGTTTGCAAATAAGTTATGAATAATTCCTTTTATTTAGTATTCACATAGTCATTGTGGAAGACGAGGTAGGGAGCATTACTTCTATTTTACAGATGGAGAAATTAAGGTCCCAGAGGCTAATTAGATCACTGGAGGTCTTGGAGCTCAGTGTTTCTCAGACTGTGGTTAAGTGTCAGTGTATTTCTAATCCATTGCAGACAATGTTTTTGTAGAATGACTAAAAATTACTTACTAGAGAAATAAAATGATGAAAAAGCAGACACCAAAGACACAACTCCACATTTTAATTATTTTTTATTATTCTACAGATATGGAATTACTCCATGAAATGGGTCTGAAAGTTTCTAATGCTTTCTCTGAGTTCCTATACTCCTCCCAGTTAGCATCTGCACGGTGACACCAGCCTATAGATCAGACAGTAAACTGCATAGCACTGATAGAGCTAATACGGGGTGGGACAAGACTAGGTTTACAGTTGTTCATATGGAAAATAGTACAATAGTAAATAAATAAAAACACACGAATAAACTCTGTGTTTCGCATACTCACAGCTGTAAACCTACTTTTGCAGACCCTGTATGAGGCAGATCCAGCACTCAAGCCCAGACCTTCCATCTCTAGTCCAGATGGTTTCAATTTACTCCATACCACCTCAACAAACAGTAAGAAATCTTGTTTATGGTCCAAGGGACAGGAAGCTCGAATTCCAAATTGTTCACATGAAACAAGTGCAAGAAAATTGATAATGGCCAGACATTTTCAAAGAGTTATATGAAACCAATGACATGAAAAAAGTGGAAAAACAGTGGGAAGCTCATGGAAATGATTTCTTTTAAATTTATGTGTAAGAAATCAATACGTAAATTCTGTGATATGTGATGTAGTATTGAAAGACTTTCTCAAGATACGTTTTTTTTCTTTCCTCATTTTAATTTGTTTATATTTTGAAAAGAGTAGTTAGGTTATATTTCGGAGTCTGAGCCTTGTCAGTTCCCCAGAACAGAATATGGGCCTCACATTATTCCAAGTGACAAAATTGGATTTTGGCCAGTTATGAAATGAAAATGAACTCATCGAACCACCTCACGGAAAGGACCTGAAAATAATGTAACTTATTCATTTCAAAAACTACCAAAGAAAATTGCAGTGCTTTTGGTGCAAAGTAAAATGCACATTGAGTCAGCAATGAAAATTTACATTGTAAGATGGTTTTGTGGGTTTCTAAGATCTCCTGATGAAATGGACCCAAATATTTACAAGTGCTATTTTATTAATAGCAACTTTACCATCTCTGTCAAAGTAATATTGCACCAATGTTCAGGAATAACTTTTGGTTGTGAGTAAATATTATTGAAAGATTCATTTTTTCTCCAAATGATGCTTATAGAATTTTTTAAAATTATAATATAAAATGTCAGGAATAGTTCTTGTTTTTTTAAAGTTCTGCTGTCTTAGTGCTTAAAGCAGCTTAAAGTGGCTGTAAGGGCATAGAGAAAGATGAAAATTTATGACAACATTCAAAACTGAGTCTTTCAGCCCACCTATTATTAGCTTCTGGGAAGACTCCACATTGCTAAAATGAAATTCAGTTTGAAGTAGGGCAAATCCATGGCCTTAAATAATATAGAGAGTTTCTGTGTTCCTCACTTGCTTTCTGCCCCATGACTCACAGATCCAAGATTTGTATGACTCAGAAAGTTAGGCAGTCATATCTAGGCACCCCTCTTTAGTAAGTACCTTCATATTTCTCCTCCCACTGAAAGGAGCAGAGAGGAAGGAAGAACTTAGGGAAATGCATTGCACCAAGGAGAGAGAAAATCCCAATAATCGTTGTAGGTATGGTGATGATAGGAATTGGGAATTATTCTCTCTCTCTCTCTCTCTAACAATACTCTATCACATCTATTTTCAAGTTGTGTGATGCAAGAATTTTTAAAACATGCAATACCTAACTGTTTAGTCAGGGTCACTGACCTCTTTCCCCTTATATTGTCAAACTAAAAAATTACAACAAGCAACACAACAATAGCCATCCGGTGTGACTAAGTAAAAAATTTTGTCAGATTGATAGAAAATATATTTTTAGTGTGCCGCAAAATTTTAGTAATTGAATTGTGTGTGCCATGAGATAAAAAAGGTTGACAATTGCTGCTCTGTCAGACCAGGGTCAGAAGACCACAAATGGGGAAAAAAGATGGTCCATCAACATTATAGCAGACATGCTTTATTTGAATGCCTGTTACTCATTGGATTTAGTGCCTAAGGTTTACACAGCCCACTCTTTAACTGTGAAACTTAGATGCTCTTTGCTACCAGCCAAGTTATCCGTATGACCAAGGGCTAAGGGTAAGTCTCCTGACTTGTCTCTTTTATCTTTATTGTTGAGAGTATTACAGATGTAATACTCTCCCTTTGGCCCCCCCCCCCCCCCCATTGCTCTCCTCCACCAGGTTCACCCTTGCCCCAGGCCTTCACCATTCTATTGTCTATGTCCATGGTCAGTGCATATCTATATCTATAAAAGGCTAATATGCAAAGTGTTCCCTCGGGAGTTCTACCGGGAGACCAGGAGTTTGATCGCTCGCTATGACATGTGCTGACCACCAGGGGGTGGCATGTAATGAAGGAAGGCCCTGGCCGGCAGCTGGCAGCTGGGGAAGGGAGGCCGGGCGGCAGCTGGAAGGCCTCCATCAGCCTTGATTGCCGGCCAGGCCTAGGATCCCTACCCATGCATGAATTTCATGCACCGGGCCTCTAGTATACATATATGTTATTTGGTTAATCTCTTCCTGCCTCCTCCTCTTCTCCCCCCTTTCCTCTGAGATTTGTCAGAATGTTCCATGTTTCCATGCCTCTGGTTTTATTTTATTCATCAGTTTATTTTTTAATTAGATTCCACGTATAAGTGAGGTCATGTGTACATGATCCCACTTCTAGGAATATATCCTAAGAATTCTGAAACCCCAACCAGAAAGAATACATGCCCCCCCTATGTTCATAGCAGCATTATTTACAATAGCTAAGATCTGGAAACAGCCCAAGTGCCCATTAGTAAATGAGTGGATAAAAAGCTGTGGTACATTTACACAATGGAGTACTATGCAGCTGACTTGTCTTTTGAAATACCCTACCCTTCAATATATTTTATCGTGTCTTCAGATCAGTAAACAAACAATAACAGCCACACTATCAAAGCCAAACAGGATTTGGATAATGATTACTTGACATGGGAAATGAAAACCTCAAATGTAAAATGTATATAGAACAATGCATTAATACAGAAACCAGAAAAGATATCTTTAAAAAAAATTGTTATCTTTACATATACATTATTTGACTTAGATATAAATACCCTAGAGGTTGAAAAAAATTAAATGTAAAAGACTGAAAGGAAACAGGAAAAGTAGCAGAATAAAACTGCCTTTGAAGGTAACAGATAATACAATCAGATTTGTAGAAAACAAACTGAAGACACACTCCATATAGAGGTCACAGACAATCAGTGAAAATGATGAGTGAGAGAAAATGACCAATATGGAAAACAAGAATCAAACATGTGGATAATTGTTCATGAAAATAAAAAGAAAAAGGATAAATAAAAGACAAGCACTAATCAAAGAATCACAAAGGGAAGGGGATCTTGCTCAGGAAGGAAATGAAAAGGGCTTTATGACTCTAGAATTTATTTTTTAAAATTTGAGATTTTTTTATTTTGCTTGAAAATTTCCTATTCATTAATTCGTTAAAAGTTAGGAAAATATAATGGTAAACTGAGACAAAATATTATTATTTTCTGATAGTTTTTTTATTATAATGCTTCATGTTTCTAGACTATAGAAAGTTGGTCTTTTCTGTTTGTTGTTTTTTTTTTCCTTAAACAATTTTGGTAATTTGTGTTAACCTAGAAAAAACTGTCAATGCTGAGGGATTGTCCATGTTTAAATATACACAGACAAAAATAATTGAAATTAATGCATTAGTGCCATAATTGAGTTTTTATTTTTTCAATTTTAATATATTATGTGTTCTCACATATAAAATAATGATATATTATTGGTTAATTAAAGACTGTTATTGAAATATACTTAAGAACAGTACACACTAAAAGCAAGTGAACAGCTCAACGAATTTTCACAAGTCAACAATACATGGCCACCTATGTTTAGAAAATAAACATAACCAACATAATTGAAAATGCTTTTTTCCTTTAGAAGTTCTGAATCCCAATCTTTTTACCTATGCTAAACAATTTTCTGAAGTC